AACGAAAATATATGTATATATACAATTTTCTCTTGCTTTATACAAACACAAACACACTTTATACACTTGCATTTGTATAAAAAACGAGAGAGGCGAGGGAGAGAATGAGAGTGGCGAGCGAGATTCACCAGGAGAGAGGTGAAATAGCAACAATTTGCTATGAGGTACAATTAAATCAAACTATATGTATAGCATTTAATTTGAATTAATAGTTTGCTATTATATACAATTTTCCCTTAAATTTATAGTTCATTTTACTTCATTAAATCACTTAATAATGGACATTGCATTGATTTGGTGTAAACACCCGGTGCGGATAAGATTTTTCCCTATAAAATAGCATATTGATCACCTAACCATTCAAAGTTTAAACGATTATTTAAACAAGTTAGATATTTTTTTCGTCATACTTTTACTTATTTATTACACAAAATAGATATTCATTTTTATTATTTATTTGTTTATCAAGCCACTCATACATTCAGGGAGTTCGAATTAGTTTGCAAAATAGTTTTCTTCTCTTTAATTTCCTTCTTTTTTATTCCTTAGAAAAAATCTAAAAGAATATTTCATATTTGTAAATTGTGTAAGTTGAATTGTTGAAACAAAAAAAAAATAGCAAATGAGTTTAGAAGCCATTTGGCTCAGAGGACTATTTAGGTGTAGATTCGTGGACCCTTCCCAGAATATGGGTACTAAGATTGAGTTTTGATCTTCACTAAAAGTTTTCTTCCTTCTAGAATAAAAATATCAAAGTAGAGGCGGAAGATAGGTGAGTCGAACTGAATTTTAACAAATGAAAATGAGTTGAGTTAATAAATAGATGAGTTATTAACATATTCAAAAATTGCTTAAGCTGATGAGCTAATTAAAAGCGGATCAAAACTTAATCTGTGTTCGTCTATTTCTTACTAAAATTTAACTGTTTTATTTGTTGTTTTATAGTTTTTTTAGCACCTATTAAAATTGTTACATTTTTCCTTATTATTGTTATATATAACATAGCAAATAAAAAAATAATCTAACAACATTTCTCATATAGCAATATTGGGAAATAGATATCAATCCAAATTTTGATGGGTTGAAATGGGTGAAGCTTTGGCAGAGCTAAATTTTCACTAATAGAATTAAGAAATATAAAAAGTAAACACACAAATAAACTTAGGAGATTCAATATCTATTATATATATCTAAAAAAATATTTTAATATAAAAATAGTGTAATTACCATTAAAAAGAATTCGGATAAAACTCTTTGACTCTATCTAACTCCGCCTCTTGAACTAATAAATACGCAAACCACATGCACCTATCAATAACCGCCAAAAAGTATATATATATATATTTCTAGAATTAAGTTGACTATGAATTTATTGACTTGATCAATAGCTTGCTACGTTGACGCAGTAGTGATTAGTGCCATGTTTATATTTAACTCGTTAACTATTTATGGATTTGTTTAGTTCAATTTGCAATATTTCTTTTTCTGAAATTCATAAATTCACAATTGTTATTCTTCGAATAAATCTACTTCAATACAATGGCTTGCAAATCATATAGAAAATGTAAGCTGCACTAAGCAAACCTAATGCGATAAACTCTGACGAAAAAAAACTATTAATAAAGAAAATCGATCGCAAGCATCTACGTAGAAAATCACTCTCCAAACCAACTCAATAAACACACGCGGATACTTGCAATATAGTTGTAGTATGACTATCATACTATCTTCTACCGACCTTATTATGTCCACTTGTTCTTTAATCACTTTGAACTTTGAATAAATCCCAAGGAAGATTCTTCAAAAAAAGTCAATTCTACAATTTTATTGAAGTCTTAATCACTCCTTGTGCAGTTGGTCTAATGACTAATGAAATAAGTGAAAATCATAGAATAATTAAATTTTAATAAAGATTAAAAAAATGCTAAGTCGTGATTCTTTTTTTTTTCTATCTAAATTTTAGGATTTAGAATTATCTAATGTATAAATAAGTATCTCATGAAATAGTCGAGATGTCAATATTTTAGAAAAGTCTTGGTCCTTCTCTATAGCTCTTTCATATATGACTATAACAACTGCCAACCATGAGTAGAGTCTAAAAAAAATTGGGTGCAAAATGAGGAGGGAAGCTACTTTGTTGGTCTATTTTTTATTGTTTGATCATGTAGTATTTTCATTGGCTTATACCAAGAAAGGTGTTAATGGTTCAATATATGATCATTGTAACATGATAATATGGAGAATAGGAGCAATTATTAATCCAACAACAAGAGTGGGAAAAGAGCAAAAGATAGGTATGGAAATGGCAGTTGATGACTTCAATGCCCAAAATTCTGAATGTTCACAGTTAGTTTTCAACTTTGCTAATTATTCCCATGGTCCTGCAGCTTCCCTTGGTAAATTCTTACTCTCTATATATATCATATATCTTCTTTTAAAATGACAAGGGAACCTCATGCGATCCTTTGGGTGCCCACAAACCACACAAGAGAGTTTACGTGGGACAAGTCCTGTGTAACGAACTAGATCAAGAATTTTAAAAGTATATGTTGTCAGATAGAGTATAGGTTACATTTATTTGATTATGTCTGCACCACACTCCCTCACGTGAATGAGTGATGGTTAAAATCAAAACCAAACCAATCTAGTCGATTTTTTAAATCTCTAAAACCAAACGAAAAAAATAACCGTCGATTTGATTATTGACGGCTCGGTTCAGTTTTTCTGGTTTTTTCAGTTTGAAAGTAATAAATTTTTTAGGACATACATATCTTGATAGACGCAAACAACTAGTACATGAACAATCCACTGAAAAGCTATTGTTGGTTCAGTTAAGCAATTAAACAATACTAAAGTTATCATTACACGAACAAAGTGATTCAATTAACAGAAGGTGTAGGTATGATAGGTAAAGACTAAAGTAATGAATTTTGATGAACTTGGACTTATGATTGTAATAGATGGGCTAAAATTTACGTGTTGGGCTTGAGAAAATGGTAAAGTTAAAGACTTAAGTTACTTAAAATTTAACAAAATATTTATATTTTATTTATGAATAATATATAAATAATTATAAAATTTATATATATAATTTATCGATTCAGTTTGGTTATTTTTTAGTAAAACCAAAACCAAACCCAAACCAAATGGTATTGGTTTTTCAAAATGTAAAACCAAACCTAACCAAATCAAACCAAATATCGGTTTTTTTAATCGATTTAGTTTGGATTGCAGTTCGATTTGATTTTTTAACCATAACCATGAACAACGCTAGCTAAGATCATCACTAATAACACTACTTTTAAAAGATGAAACAAATATTTTGGACTAAAGGAGATACCAAGTCGTCGCTTTGTTTTATGATACGAATTATGTATATACATAGACGCTCATACACAAAAGAGTATAATGTTCAAATGGATAAAAATTAATTTAACATGAATACTTGTAAAAATCTGATAAACCGAGTTTATCGATGCTGATAAAATTAGTCAAGTGAACTTTTAGATCTGTGATTTGTTTGTACCATAAATGACAATCACAAAAGGCCAATACTTTTTGTAGAAGTTGATAAGATCTTTTTATACCTACTAACTTATTCATTAGCAAGTATAAAGAATTGACATACTAACAACTAAACTTCCTTCTATAATGAATTGATCTTCACTCTCAGAAAGAAAAAGACTATATATCAACATCTTTTTTTTTATGACCATGGTGTTGGGCCAGCTTTCACGCACCTCGACTAATTCCGCGGATAGCTGGCCTCCCACCAGCAACCTTAAGAGTTCTCAACCACTTCATTGACCACTAGGCGACACCCTTGGGTGCATATCAACAAATTTTCCTTACACCAATTCTCATATCTCTGCCCTCCAATCCAAGTTCAAATATTACAAATTCATCCTTCTAGGCTTCTACTCCACTGCTGCTGCCGCCGCCTCGGTAAAAAGGATCACCCGGTCCAGTCGAAAAGTTCAGAAATCTTAGTAAACGAAGTAAGAAATTTGTGAACACATGCTAAATGCCAACATCCTTTTTTTTTGGGGGGGAGGGGGAGAAGACAAGTCAAATAGAAGATACATATCTCTATTAGAAGCCAAACTCTGGACCTGCACAAAAAAACATATTTAAAAATAAAAAAATGAAAAATAGGAATGTTGGCCATCAAACGGTCACATCACCTTGTCTATGTCTAGCTTTAATAATAAATATAGATAGATAGATTATCTTCAACATCCAGTACATGCAATGCAGCTTTGGTGTACTGACTTAAAATTTTGCAGCAACTTATCTTGCCAACAAGAAGCAAGCACATGCCATCCTTGGACCATTGACACACCAAGAAGCTGCTCTATTTTCTGACTTTGATGATGAAGCCTACAAGGGTATTCCCATTATTTCTCTACATCCAGGTTCCACATATTCAACAGTCTTACTGACAGAATCACCTTCACTTATCCAAATGAGTATTGATGTTGAGTCCAAAATGCAATGCTTTGCTGCCTTAATTGGACATTTCAAGTGGAGAAAAGTGATAGCTTTATATGAAATTAGTAACAGCTTCTCCAATATGGATTCTGGACTGATTACTCACCTCTCAGACTCGCTCAAAGTTGTTGACTCCTCTGTTGAATATCATTTGGCATTTCCTCCTCTGTTCTCCCTCTCAGATTCAAAATCATTCATTCAAAAAGAGCTGGTGAAGTTAAAAACCAAGAATGTTAAAGTTTTTGTGGTGTTACAGTGTTCTTTAGACTTTGGCTTAGTTCTTTTTGAGATGGCGAATGAAATGGGAATGATGGGGGAAAATTATGTATGGATTATTTCAAACAATATGGCAAGTCTTCTGGACTCTGTTGAACCCTCTGTTTTACTGAACATGCAAGGTGTAATTGGGTTTAAGGCAAATGTTAATGAAAAAACTGAGTGTTTTAGAGAGTTCAATGCTAAGTTCAGGAAAAAGTACAGATCACAATATCCTGAAGAAGAAGGATATCCAAGTCCTAGCTCATATGCACTCAAGGCTTATGATGCAACTTGGGCAACTGCTAAGGCCATGCAAAAGTTATCCGGAAGCAATTCAAGTGAACTAGTGAAAAGCATTTTGTTGAGTGATTTTGAAGGTTTAAGTGGAAAAGTTAGCTTCAAGAATGGCATGTTATATCAAAAACCAACCTTTAGGATCATAAATGTGATTGGCAAAAGCTACAGAGAAGTGTCATTTTGGTCACCAAAGTTTGGTTTTTCTGAGGTTCTTGGTGAACACAATGGGGTGAAGTTGAAAATTGGCAACGGTTTAGGAGGGGCTCTGGGGTCAATTGTGTGGCCTGGTGGTACGCAAACTGTCCCAAAAGGGTGGACAATAGGTGGCCTAGAAAAACCACTTAGGATTGGGGTACCTGCAAGGGGTGCATTTACTCAGTTTGTGAAAGTTAAATTTAACCAAGAGACGAATGAGACTCTGATTGGTGGATTTTCAGTTCATGTTTTTCAAGCAGTAGTGAGGGAACTTCCCTATTATCTGCCCTACAATCTTGTTCCCTTCTATGGTACTTATGATGAAATGGTGGTAGGAGTTTCTAACAAGGTAAGCATGACTCTTTAACTTAGCATTTCCTAATGAACTCTGGTCTAATTTTTCAGATTTTGGAAGAAGGTTCAAATCTATGTTTTATTATACAAAATATTTTAATTTTACTCTGTTTTACTTTGGTGTCATTAACAAATTGTAATTGTGGTTGACTTTAAGGATCTCCAACGTGAACTGGGTGGATTCCACGTGTCAAAATATTTCAAGAAAATTGTCGATTATTTATTCTCACTCCTGGATTTCACAAGAGCTTTTGGGCTGGTGGTAGACATTTTGAGTTTTCCAGAGGAGGAGCACTTGGTTACCTTCCGTAGTACAGTGACTACGCAGATAGAATATCTGCTCCTTAGGAAGGGTGATAAAGGTGTTTGTAAGGATTGTAAGGTTATCCTGAGTGAGGATCTTATGACCCAACATAAACTCAAGATGATGGATTTGGAGATCAAGAGGGAGAGGAAGAAGAGGGTCATGGATGATCAGTTAAGAATCAAATGGGGTAGCTTGACTATGGCCAGTGCCCTAGAGGTGGTAGAGAAGTTGATGACTACGAGGGCTTTGGGGAATAGTGGGGATGCAACCAGTATGTGAATAGGATCGCTAGTTGCATTAGGGAAGCGGCTAGAGATGCGCGGGGGTCTCAAGAGGCCGATTTGGTGGGTATCGAGAGGACTAGTGGTGGAATGGAGAAATCCAAGAGAATGTAGATGTAAAGAAGGCGGCGTACGCATAATGGGTGGAAAGTAAAGACAAGGAGGAAAAGTCGACGAATAGGGAAAGATATAAAATGGCGAGGAAGGAGGCAAAGTTAATTGTCACAAGGGGAAAACGACAACTTTAGAACGCATGTATGTTGGATTAGAGGACAAGAGTAGGGTTAAGAGGTTGTACAGGTTATCCAAGGCGAGAGAGAGGAGGGTCCATGACCTAGACCAAGTAAAGTGCATCGAGGTTGAGGAAAACAAAGTACTGGTAGAGGAGGCACTCATTAGACGGATATGACAGTCATACTTCTATAAACTCTTGAACGAAGAAGAGGAGAGAGACATTGTGTTGTAACAGTTGGAGCACCTAAAGAAGTGTCACGATTAAGGGTATTGTTAGTGTATAAAGGTTGAAGAGGTTAAGAGTGTTATTCTTAGGATGTGTAGGGATAGAACGACCATGCTAGATGAGATTCCGATGGAATTTTGGAAGAGCTCAGACTGGGTAGGCATGGAGTGGTTAACTAAGTTGTTAAATGTTGTTTTCAAGATGGCAAAGATGCCTGAAGAATGAAGATAGAGTACAATGATTCTGTTGTACAAGAACAAGGGTGACGTTCAAAGTTGTAACAACCATATGATATCAAGTTGTGGTAAAGAAAGGGTTAGGAAGGGTGTGGCAATTTTCGAGAACCACATCGAATTAATATCGGGGAGCTCAACTATAAAAGTCATTCATCTCGTAAGGAGATTGGTGGAACAACATAGAGTAAGGAATGACTTATATATTGTGTTCATCGACTTAGAAAAAGCTTACGACAAAGACCTAAGGAAGGTTCAATGGAGTTGCTTAGACTGTGGGAGGTGACCTAGAACACTTCCCAATTTTGATGGGGTTATACTGGGGATCAACCCTTAGCCCATCTTTGTTTGTCTTGATAATTGATATATTAACACGAAAAATTCAAGGTGAGATGCCATGTTGTAGTTACTTGTGGATTAGATAGTTCTAAGTTGGAGCATTGGAGAATCTAAAGGATTCAGGTTGAGCAGAACCACAACAGAGTACTTAGGGTGCAAATTTAGTGATATAACGTATGAGGCTGATGTGAAAGTAAGACTTTATACATAGGTTGTCCAAAAGAGAGGAAGTTTCAAGTATCCTAGGTTTATTATCCAAGGAAATGAAGATACTGGCGAATTTGTCACACACCGTAGTAGTGTAAGGTGGATAAATTGGAGGCTTGTATCTAAAGTCTTTGTTGATAAGAAGGTGTCATCAAAATTTAAAGGCAACCTCTACAGAGCAGTAGTTAGATCAACTATGTCGTATGGGCGAAGTTGTTGGCCAATCAAGAACTCCAACATTCGGAAGATGAAAGTTGTAGAAATTAGGATGTTGCGATGGATGTGTAGATATACCAGGAGAGATAAGATTAGAAATGAGGATATTCAAAACAAGGTAAGAGTGACTTCGATAGAGGACAAGATATGGGAAACAATGCTGAAATAGTTTGGGTATGTGAAAAAGAGATGCATGGATGCCCCAGTGCAAAGGTGCAAGAAGTTGGCTACATATGGTTCTATGAGAGGTAGAGGTAAACCTAAGAAGTATTGGGGAGAGGTGATTAGACATGACATGGGTAGTTTCAACTTACCAAGGACATGACCTTAAATAAGAAAGTGTGGAGGTCAGGGATTAGGGTAGAAGGGTAGTAAGCATCAATGCATTGTCTTATTGTCCGTTCATATTAGTAGTCGTAGTATTGCACATTTAGTTTCTTGTCCTTTAATATATTTTACTATCTGTTGATTTCTTATACCTTGACTATCGTATGGTTTTGTTGAAGTTTTGTTAGTATCTATTGTTTGTGTTAATAACTGATTTCTTGTACCTTGACTATCGTATTATATGGTTTTCTTGAAGTCTTGAACTTCCGCCACTTCTTTTTATGGACTGCTTACACTGTTTTTCCTTGAGCCGAGGGTCTATGTCGGAAACAACCTCTATACCTTTAGGGTAGGGAGGGATAAGGTCTACCTACACTCTATCCTCTCTAGGCCCCACGTTGTGGGACTACATTAGGTATGTTGTTGTTGTACTTTTGACTATGGTTTACAACTACCATCTATTATACTTCAAGTTGGAGATACGTTAGGGTCAAGGATAATCGATAGGGGTGGATCTAATGTTATGGTACCAGGTTCATCTGAACTCGTTCTTTCAATACAAAGCATAAAATCATGTGTAAAAATTTACTAAAATTGCAACAAATAGTAGATATGAACCTGTAACTTTAAAAATATAATGGGAACTACGGATAACTTCAAAGTATAATGAAAGGCAAAATTAAGAAATTTCGTACAACAGAGTACTTTTTGACCCTTTTGCCTTAAGATTTTCATCATTATCAATCAGTGAAGTCTGCTGCTTAGAGCTCATTATTGTTAGTTACATCTGCAAATACTTTTACCGATACTTACTAGTTCATGAAATAGAATCTGGATGCAGCGGTAGGTGATACCTCTATATTGGCTGAACGCTATGAGTATGCAGAATTTTCACAGCCCTATATTGACTCTGGACTTGTCATGATAGTGACCGAAAGGCCAAGACTCAACAAGGTCCAATTTATTGCTATAAAGGCCTTCAAGTTGAAGTTGTGGATTCTGCTAGCAGTGATGAGCATGTCCACAGGGGTTGTCATCTGGTTAAATGAGTATGTAAATGACAACCCGGATTTCAGTGGTTCTTTCCCTCAGCTTATTGGATCCATGCTTTGGTTCTCTGTCACTGTTCTCTCTTTTTCACAAAGTAAGTTTCAAACTTAGAAATACATTATACTTCTCCTTTCCACCTTCTTTGACACTATTTCCTCATTATTTCACACAAAAATCAACGTCACATTTCAATATTTCCTTAAAGAGAATCTTTTATAGAACATGAGTGTGATGACATGTTTAAAGCCACAAGGTTTAAGAGTTTTTATTTCTTTTCTTAAACTATATGCGGAGTCGAACTATGTCAAAAAAAAATGGAACAAAAGGAGTATAGAATAAGAATAAGGATTAAAAAATTACTCTTTTACTATACGAGATATCTTAATTTTACACTTTCCGATACTCTTATTGTTAGCAAATCGTCTAGTATTTGTCCTTGAACCTTAATGGAACTTCATCTGAAGTATAACAGATGGTAATGTACTAATGTTAAATCATAGTCAAAAGTATTTGAGTAAATTCTGAACGTTTTCCTGAAATATTTTGACACATGGATTCCTTCCTAATCCATGTGGAATTTCCTTAAAGTCGAGGGCAAATCCGAGAGGATGTGCCAACGGTACAGATATAATGATCAAAAATATAACGAAGGGTAAAATCAAACATATTTTGTATAATAGAGAGATAAGTTTGGACTTTTCCCTTTAGAATAAAGATATATACAGAACTACTGTTTACAATTTAAAAGCTTATAGTTCCAATTTGGGATATCATTACAGGAGAATCAATCAAAAGCAATCTATCTCGACTTGTGCTGACTACATGGTTATGTGTAGTTGTGGTTGTTACAGCTTGCTTTACTGCAACTCTTTCCTCCATCATGACAGTTCCTAGGCTGGAACCTTCTGTACTAAATGTGGATTATCTTCTAAGGACCAATGCTCCAGTTGGTTGCAATGGCAATTCATTTATAGTCAAATATCTAGTAAATTTGCAATTCAAGCCAGAGAACATCAAGAAGATCAGTTCAATCAGTGACTACCCTAAAGCTTTTGAGAAGGGAGAAATTTCTGCTGCTTTCGTTGTAGCTCCACATGCCAAAGTTTTCCTTGCCAAGTACTGCAGAGGTTACACCAAATCAGGACCTGTCTTTAAACTTGGTGGTTTTGGTTTTGTAAGATCAAGAATTCATCTTTTTAACTTTTCAATCTGCCTATCTCCATCTTCACAGATTAATTTCACATATGCTCACTGAACTTTGCTCAGTATAACAGTAAATTTACAACTTTTGTCATTTTATGAACTTTACCTACTATAACAACAAAGTCATTAATCAATTTTCTGTCACGGAGTAACAAAACTTCACCCACTATAACATTGAAGTCATTGAACTTTACAGAAAGTCCCTAGACGGATAGATTTTAAAGTTTCAATGGATAATGTTTAGTAATTATAATGTTATAGTGGGTTGAATTCAGTTACTATAATTTGACAAAGAAAATTTAGCGTCTTTACAATTATAATAGCTAAGATTTAGTGATTTTACTGTTATAGTTACTTAATTATGACAAATTATAATTTAGTTACTTAATTACAATGGACAAAGGTGAGTGACCATAAGCAACATTAACCATTTTGTCAGCCTAAATTTTTAAACTAGTTTCTTTATGACAATTTGATGTTTTAATCTATCAGGTTTTTCCAAAGGGTTCTCCTTTAGCAGTTGATATCTCCGAAGCTGTTCTTAAACTCTCACAGAGTGGAGAGATAAATCAACTAGAAGAACAAATGCTTATTTCAACAAATTGCTCTTCTTCATCAGCTGAGGAGCAGCTTTTTGGATTAGGACAAGAGTTGTTCTCTGGTCCAGTACTGATTTCAGGTATTATATGTGGAATTGTATTTTTGATCTCAATCGCTCGTTTAGTCAGAAAACACTGGCTATATTTAAGCTCTATAATTGCAAATAGTGCAAATATAGTTCTTAGATGGACTTCTCTAGTTAAAAATTGCAACACTGTGATTGACCAAAGACCAAATATTCAACAGAATGTTGAAATTACAGAGGTTGTTTGATGAACCAGAAACTGGAAAATCATGGACAGCAATTGATCAGCAGCTACTTTTCTCTTGTCTAATAAACAATCTAATGCTCTTTGTAAATATATTATTTTCTTCCTTATACGTAATTTCTGTATCATTCACATGTACTGTATAATCCTATTTTAGAAATAAACGCACACACATAGAGCAATACATATATAAATCAGTAAACAAGTCTAACATTAAGCAGATTCTGAAAGAGAAGCAAAATTGAGACCTTACTTTCCAGAATGAAGAATCAAACTCGGGTCCTCCTAATCGACCCAACCCTCTCCATCTCCAACTTCATCACCGGACTCCTCCTCACCGGCTGATAACGTCTCCAACTCCGGCGAAATCACCGACTGCTTTACCATTTGCGGAAGAAGATTAGTATAAAGAAGTAAGCTGTGGGCTAATGAATTAAGGGTGACAAAAGAGTTTCAAAATAAAGAAAAAGTGACACAAGTTTTAATTATTGAGTATACGTGACAATTTTAAGATCGAAAAAGGGTCATATTTGCCCTTGTACTCTCAGAAAAGGGTTATATTTGCCCTTTGTTATACTTTTTTGATATATTTGCCCTTGCCATCCAACTTAAGGTACATATTTGCCCTTCAACCGTTAAGTTTCATATCTCAAATTTTATCATCCTATGTGGCATCAACATGTAGTCATACTATGTGGCATCGAGATGAGAAATTACGTAAAAGCCCATCATCATCCCTTTCATCACCACCGCCATTGTCAAAATTGAGAGCATAACTATCTGAATCATACTAAAACTGCGTCGTTTTAGCTGAAGATTTCTTAGGGGTTACAGTATTTTCCGATCTTCCTTACCAAATTCTTCCATTTGGGTCCAGCTACAAGTTCAGAATACTCTTTCAATTCCTTCTTATTTTTCACTATCCATGAATCTCTGTTTTCTCTTTCTTGGAGCAGAGAATTTGCTTCGCCTTCTTTTCGGGTTGATGGGAAACAAGGGAATCTGAAACAGCCGCACCAAATCGAAGAGGGTTCTTCGTGAAAATAGTTCTGTTCCTTCTTGGGCAGTTTCTATGATGGGTGAATAAGTGTTGTTCATCATTTTACTTGAAACTTCAGCTGAAAAATCGATCTGGGTGTGTGTGTTTTGGGTATATTAGGTGTTCTTCCTTGTGCTCTGTTTAATATTCTTGAAGATTCAGCTAAAAATTTGATCTTGGTGTGTGTTTTTTGGGGATTTCGAGGTGAGGGGTGGGTATATTTGTTGTTCTTCGTTATGCTCTGTTTGATATTCTTGAAAATTCAGCAAAAATTCAAACTCTATGTGTGTGTTTTGGGGAGATTTGAGATTTTGGGATTTGGGGTTCAATTAAGCAAATCTAATTGTTATTTTTTTTGGCGAAAGTGACAATAAAATAAATATTAGGAGTTGGGATTAATGGGTTAAATGGTTGATTATAATATTAAGTTGGATATAATAATTAAATTTTATAAAAAAAATAATGTAGAGTAAATATAAATATATGTGTAGGCGCCATGTAGATGCCACATAGGATGATAAAAGTGGAGATATGAGACTTAACTGTTCAAGGGCAAATATGTACCTTAAGTTGGATGGCAAGGGCAAGTATATCAAAAAAGTATAACGAAGGACAAATATAACCCTTTTTTGAAAGTATAAGGGCAAATATAACCCTTTTCCGTTTTAAGATTAGTGCTAATGACACTAATTTTAAAATCTTTAAGTTTTATTATTTACATAAAAGCCCTATTTTCCTATTTACATAAAGCTTGACCGCTTTATTGGGCGGGTTGGATTCTGGATATTCGGATATTGGATCCGGGATTCGGGTCTTGTTACTTAACATTCCAATTGATTCAAAATTTCCTCAATTTTTTTACTAATATAACAGCTCTATATTAAAAAATATAACAATTATTAATTTAACTTTATTTTATATATATATAATAAATATAAAAATTGAACTTAACTTATAAAGTACTATACTTTAATATAATTATTTCACATAATATTAATAATCTTTTCAATGTTGAACATGTATTTTTCTATTAAATCAAAAAGACAAATAAATAATATTACTGTCAGTCATTGTAAGTCATCATCATTATTTTTTATGAATAAACACGAATCGCAAATTAAAACTTCAAATTTGAGCCTAAATCCTAAATCCAAACACTTATTTAATCAAGACATAATGAGCCTATCTAATTTTATTTGGACAAAAATAGGAAAGAAAAGTTTAATTTACTCACTTATGTGAGTGGATTATAATTTAAGGAAATTATATAAATGGGTTATAAAATCTAAAAGAATTACAAGTTCATATCCTAACCCAAAGTAATTCCTCATTCTCTCATAAATAATTATAGCTCATACCCCTACATTAAGGCTGATAATTTTCGCTTAACTGATACTAAATCAGTATCATATACAGTATTGGTATCATATATTGTATTGGTATCATTAAGGCTGATATTTTTTGCTTAACTGATACTAACTCAATATCATATACTGATTTAGTATCAAGTTAAGCGAAATTATCAGTCTTAACGATACTAATACAGTATATGATATTGACTTAGTATCACTTAAGCAAAATTATCAGTCTTAGTGATACCAATACAATATATGATATTGATTTAGTATCAGTTAAGTGAAATTATCAGTTTTAACGATACCAATACAATATATGAAACTGATTTAGCATCTACTAAGCGAAAATAGTTGGTGGTATATAGTGTAATTATTTAGTGGGGTATGAATGTAAAGGGTATATGTCTGTAATTATTACTTTTATGGATATTACTATATAAGAAGAGCGAATAAGCACACTCTTCTCTGTCAACACGTGTGCTTACGTGAAAATACACTCAATTTTAAGGGTTATTTTTGTCATTCTATGCTTTTACTTTACATAAGTGTTGAGTACCTCAATACTACGAAATCAGTTAAAGCCTCCACGTGGGCCGGACGATGAAGGTACTTGCGTAAATAAATCAAAATAGAGGGTTGCTTTATGGTATTTCGTACTTTTCAAACTTGAAAATGATTGTACTTGCCTGCTTCATAAATGTACTTCCTTTTTGTTGGACACAAAAACCATTTGCTTTTTTTCCTCTTTTACGGTTTTAATTGTGTGGGCCCTATTATTACTTTGGGAGAAGGGACGGATTTACCCCCGAACTTTAATAAATGGTACGTCTATGCCCTCCGTTATACTTTCCGTCCACATAAGCCCCTGCCGTCCAATTATAGGTACACATATACCCCTCTCACTAACGGACCCCTAATTTCTTACACGTGTCTTAATCCTATTGAACTACCCGTTTGACCCTTTTTTTTAACCCATAACCCAACTATCCGCCCCATAACCCAATACCCACCCAATTTCCTCTAAAAGGAATCCTAATTAAAAGACCCAGAATATGATGTTGAAATTGTTGGTGGTGGTGCTGATGATGCCGGTGTTTCAACAAACACCTCATACTCCTCCTTCAGCGACTCACACCTATACCCATAATCATACCCATATTCCTCAGCGGCTTGTAGCTCAACCCTGGCTGCCTCCTCTGAAGCCAAAACCAACAACCTCTTGATCTCATCCCTCCTCGCCACCGAACGCCTCCATTTCCGTCTAACCATAAAACCTGACACTGGTCCAAAAACCGCCATGAACGCCGCCACCACCAAGCTCGAGAGAAACCCTAGATTCCCTCCCACGAGCATTTCCACAAACCCATAAACAACAACAGATCACATCCAAACCCTAATCCTTCCAAATTCATAGAGCTCTATACCACCCCTCCACCGATCACGATGTTGAAAATACTCCACCACACAAAGATCAAAACTTTGCATGCACACAGAATTCAATCAACCAAAATTGTGGAGAAATCGAGAGAGGAAAGTGCAATAAAGTCACTGGAAGAGAGAAGATTCAGACCCAAAGAGAATTTTTTTTCTCCTAGAACGAGAATTTAGGGGATTTTTTAAAGTTTGAAGTTTAGGGGAAAATTGAAAAAGGAAACTAAATAATAAGATTACTTAGCAGCGCTATAAGTGTTGAACTCCTGAAGGGATAGGGTTTGTGGCTTCTTCTTCTTCGTTTTGGTGGTGGCAGCAGCGGCCAAAGATGGAAAATCGGCAAGGCCACCGGCACCGCCGCCATTGGAGTGATTTTCAACCTTCACTGAC